CCATAATGATTCTATGATTCTATGATGAAGAATTTAGACCATTGCTAAATCCTAACTTAATTTTGTGACTTCAAGTATCAAAAGCAAGAAAGAACTATTTTTGAATTGAAATTTAGGTTGTTTGTGTGTACATATACACATATGCAAACACTTCTATATTTAAAATGTTGACAAGTATTATTAAAACTGGAGAAGCTCAAATGGCACTATAATAATATTCTCAAACATATGGAAGATGCCTGCTACAGAAAACATTTTTTTTTTTATGGAAAGGACTTTGAAGGCTTAATGAGATGATGTGGAAACTCGGTATAGAATCGGGTATTTGAAGCAAGTTTTGAGCAAAGGATGCTTCATGATGACTGTTTCTGGCTTAGGACCAATGCAAGAGAGCCACATTGTGATAGCTGAAATCAGCAGGGACATGAAAGACAGAGCATTTGGCAATTCAAGTGAGAAAGGAGCGCTGTAAGGGTATTTTCCGTGAGTCACAAAGCTTTGGCATCTAGTTACTACTTTAGCTCCTGCTGAGGTTTACAGCACACTACATGCTCTTCATGCTCTCTGGAAGAACATTATTCATCATTTTGAAAAGCCACACTTTCTCCTTTAAGAACTTTTGCATTATTGCAGGAGATACTAACTTGTCCTACGAATAAATAACAAATACTTATTGCAAAAACATGATAGAACTTGTTTAGCGCATAGACAAGGAACTCAGTTCAGTTCATTATTCTGCTAAAGGAAAGCTACAGAACCAAAAAATAAAAGTATCATATTTTATTCAAAGTATGCCAATATGTGTTATATTGGAGACATTGGAGACACCAGTTATTTCTATCATTTCACTTGCCTTTGGGTAAGACTTCAGAAATACCATAAATCATGGAGAATACTTGAACTCAAATGGAGGATATCTGAAACTCTGCCAAGGACATCCAAAACAATGTGTGAATTACTAACAGTATTTTCTAAAAACATATACTCGATTTGACTTGGTAGGTAAGTTTGAAAACAAGTACCACAGGTAACTGTGAAAAGAACAGTGCCTATTATTTGTTTCTCCTATACTTGCTCCCTGTTGCCTCACTAAATTAAATATAAGCATGCGTGGCCACAATGCAGTAAAGACTGCATTTCAGCCTTAAGGTAAGTAATGAACTTTTAATATTAATCACTAAATTACAAGTTTCTTAAAATAGTTTCCACAATACCTGAAAGGCATCCTGATGTTCATTCTTTCTGCGTATTTGCACAATGTCTCCCATGGACAGTGAATTTTAACAAACATGATATCACTATTTGTAACAGCTGGCTGTAAAGAGTGGTAACAAAAAAATGCATATTAATAATTCAAACCTCTATGGCATTCACCTTTCTAAAAGCATTCTTCAGGGTTAAATTCCACTTTTAGGCCTGAAGTGGCCAATGAAAATCTGAAAACACTGTAAGTGCTCTCAGCTAGACAAAGGAAAATTAATATATTTTTTTTCTTCCAAACCCTATAATATGAATAAACTAGTAACTGTCAAAAGAAATCTGTAGGACCGAACTTTGCTCATAAACACAGCAGAAGTAGAGAAAGGCTTTATGCAGCATTTTTTGACATGGAATAAATGAATTAATTTTAAATCCCCTCAAAGTCATCTTAGACGAGCAGTTTGAAGACCATTCTGTGTGTCTCACTTTTAAAAACAAGAGTGCTCAGCTGCTAGAGACATAGGAACAGCTGAGAGAAGGCTGCAGGTCCCACTCTGCCAAAATGGCAACTCCGGGGAATGGTTAAGTAATTGTGACATCTGCTATGAACTTATAAAAGTGATCTTTGTATGAATTGAGAAGTTTTTGTAAAACTACACAATTATAATACTCTACACAAACATTTTTCATCACTAGTTTATTTGTACATAAAACAAGAGTTTCAGCATTACAGGTTCCTATATTCACCTTTTCTTATAAACACTTCAGTTCCACACCCTTCTCAGATATATTTGCTTGAGTTTTTATCAGTAAATATTTTGAAAGTGTTGAGTCTGACTAAAGTCTCTCAAAATCTTGAATAATGCAAGGTTTAGTAAGTAAAAGAAAATATAGTTAAAGGGCTAATAAAATTTAAAATGTTCACAATTCTACCTACCAGTTCCATAAAGTCATATCACAGTTCAACAATACTACTTCTAGGATTTATTTTTCTCAAAAGATATGGATAAAAAAATACAACTGGAAGACAATTTACAACACTTGATACCTAGAATTATGATCTTATAATTATTTTTTTTTTCTGAAGTGTCAATGATTCTGAATTAACACCAGCTGAGATTGGGATATATATTGAAATCAGAAGCAAACAAGGTATTTTTTACTACTAGACTGTAACAATTTTTAAAAGCCTTAAAACCAAATTTTAATCCACTGTCAGGTTAGTTAGTTATGAATATTCAACATGCTACACTGTCAGCTAGAACTTGCAAGAACTTCAAAACAGTTAAAAGCTCATTGCTTTAACACAGAACATGTAAGGTAATTCTATTGAGTTGAAGAGTATAAATCAGGATGAAAGACACATAAAGTATAGGAGCTTACTTCAGGATACACTAAATACATGCCTGTTTTATAAGCAATTCATGAAACAGCAAAAATCTAAGGCTGTTTTCCTGGCTCTGTTTTTCTTTATTTTTACATTAATAGTGTCATTACTAGGGATGGATTAACTTGACACTGACAATCTTAATCCCTTAAAAAACAGAGACACATTTAGTATCATGCATTCTGCTCAAAGAGGTTATATATTAAAGCAACAACATGAGACACTGAAGCTTCTTCTGTTCTGCAAGCATAAGGTGCTGGAAGTTTTCCCTCTATACTGCACTACACCTGTGTGGAGGGTACGTGTGTGTGTGTGTACCAGCACATGTCCCCAAAACATGTTAAACACACACTATTAAACAATTGTTATTAACTTAGTAGTATTAAACAAGTGGTGGGAACAGTCTGACTGGAAAGGCTTGTAAGATTGTCAGGAAACTTTTATCAATTCAGTAGAGTATGATAGTATAATAAAGGTATATATATGCCACATAAGCTACAAGACTCACCTCTCGTTCTAACATCAACCCCTCTGCTCTCAAATTCTTCTCAAACGTGCTTCTTTTTTCTACCTGTGGACTTGACTTTTTGTAGACCAAGATGTAATCAATGCGCTTTTTGCCATCTTTGAAGAAGAGTCCTGATGATGCCATGGCATCACTCTGGAGAAGATAAAATAAAAATACACTAAATATGGCATCCATAAAGATGAAGAGTGCCATCACGAACTGCATGTAACAGAGCATTTGCTAAAGCCTGGAAATGTCCATGTATTTGCAGGATGAGTAAGTAAAGAAGTCACAAGAACAGGCAGTTCATATGCATCAGTTGCTCAGGATTTCAAATTAATTAGAACAAAACAAAATAAAATAGTTTCACAAAACCCGTATTCTAGCTATTTCTTTCAACCGTGCAATAACCTTAAAATTATTGTGTGGTATATATTGGTATGAACTTCTGTTAATCCTTACTTTC